CTGGGGTTAGGAAATATGTGAGGCTGATTATCACTGTTCCAGAGTTTCAGCGGTTTTGCTTTTGAGATTCTGAGTGTACCATGGTGGTGTTATTAGTGCTGGTATTCCTATTAATATTATTCATATTAGATTTTTGAGTTGTTTATTGAATATATGATTTTACTTAGTTTTCCAAAATTTTTATATTCTCTTAAATCAAGCCTCCAGAGTTTTTCTCCTCACGGTAACATAGATGTGACTTTTAAAAAATAACGAAGAAATAACATTATATGATGACAAATGGTGACGACACATTGTGGTGAGCACTGAGTAATGTATAGAATTGTTGAATCACTATGTATACACCTGAAGCTAATATTGTATGTCAACTATACTTCAATAATAAAAATTTAAAAATAATGAAGAAAGTATTTGCTTGGTAGAAATTCACTTCGTAAGGAAAATTTGGGGGGAAATCACCTTTTATATTTTTTTTCATCTTTTATATTAAAGGAGGAATTCTTGTACCTTAGAGAAAAACAATGTTGCTTTAATTGTAAAACTCCCCTGACCTCCCTAAATATAAACTTTATATATCCATCCCTGTGAGTCTAGCAAAATGCTTGGCACACATCACTCAATAAATGTTTTTTGAGTTATATTGATCCGGTCTAAACAGGAATTGAACCTGAAATTCTCTTCTCACCACATGCTCAGACACACACAGACACACACACACATACACACACACACAGCCATCTAAACAACTGAGGAACTGTTAGGATTAGGTTCATGCATCTGTTAGCATTAGGTTCAAATGTCAATAATAGAGACATCCAATGTCAAATGTCAATAATAGAGACATCCAAAATAATAGTGACTAAAGAAGGTAGAAGTTTGTTTCTTTCTCACATAAAGTAAGTCTAGGAGCGCTTGGTGGCTCTGATTTCAGCTCAGGTCGTGATCTCAGGGTCGTGAATAGAGCCCCGTTTAGGGCTGTGTGCTCAGCGGTGAGTCTGCTTGAGATTCTCTCCCTCTCTCACTCTCTCTCTAAAATAAATAAATCTTAAAAAAAAAAAAAAGTGAGTCTAGACATAGTAATCTAGGGCTGCTATGGTGATTCCATGAAATCCTTCAGGACCTCAACTCCTTCCAGTTCTTTGCTTCGCTAGCTCTGTAAAGTGGCCCTTCTCTTCATGGATTAACATGGTAATTAGAGTGCCAGCCATTACGTTTCTTTTTCAATAGTAGAAACAAACCAATAGTAAAAAGGCCAGAAAGCGCAAACTATCATGTTCTTCTTCTTTCTTATACCTTTGTTCTTTCTCAATGTCCTCCTCAAAATGGAGGAGGCAATCCTCCTCTTCTCCAAATTGCATTGTATTATCTAGCATAGGATCTTTATTTTCCTTTCCATGTAAATTCAGTGTGCTCCTTTTTAAACATTAATTTGGTACCTTTTTCTCTGGTGCCACTTCCCAGCTCTGGTCTGTACACATATCTCAAGCAGTTTCTGTCCACTCTCTGGTTGATGGGCCCTTGTATTTAGTTAGATCTTAGAAAGAACGATCTAGTGTATGTCTTGACCCAAAGTAAGTTTTTTTGTTGTTTACTGTTAGCTAAACTTCTAAGGCGATTTTCTAAGGAAATTGGATGAATTTTGAAACTTATTTTAAATTTTATTTAATTCAGAGAAATAATTTATTTGCAAGTTTTGAAAAGCAAGAATCTTTAAAAAAAGAAATATACTTTGCCAATAGGGATAAAACATTTAGCAATCATTTTAAATTCAGAATCCTTTCAGATCTGCTTTTGCTTAGTACTTTTATTCTTAAGCTGTCATTTTGAATGAAGGAAAATAGACATGGGATATGGTCCACTGATCTTCCATTTCACAACTAGATGTCAGTGTTAACATACCTGATTAGGTATCTCAGGTATGGTCATAATGAGCTCATTCAAGTAATTACTCACCTATCTGAGATACAAATCAGAAAATAAATGATAAAGAAGAAAAAGAAGGAAAAAAATAAGCTACTTTCCTTATTTCAAAATGGGTTGGTTAATTTTATATTTACATTTTTAAAAATTGAATTTTTCCCCACCTTAATAACTATGCACAATTAAACTTTCTGATTTATTTGGTTAGGAAAGGCAGATAAGAGTGTAAACTTGTACCCTTTCACTACTACCAACCAGTTTTTCCCTACAACTTTTCCAGAAAGAGTGATCAGAAAAAGAAGGAAAATTATTGCTATTCAAATATGGTATGTGTGTGTGTGTTTGATTCTTGCCTACTTCAATAAGAGCCATACGTGAGAGCAGGAATTACGCATGTATTGTTGGTGACATTTCTTGCATCTCCCTAGAAGGTCTCTCTTGGTATAACTAACTCTGCCTTTTTAAATTCAGTCCTCATGTAAACAGGAATATGGGGCGCCTGGGTAGCTCAGTTGGTTAAACAGGAGCATGATACCCCTTGTCTTTTCCTTGTAGATCCAATCTGACAATCTTTTAACATCATTTATATGCATTTCTCTAACTAGAGTGTCGTACCTTTTATACCCATGCTTCCTGTTGATAAATATGCAATCAGAGTAATAACTGAAATATCATGAATAACATCCAGGTAGAGCAGTAGATCACAGTGCTGAAAACACATCCCTACCCTCCATGCTACTAAAAGATCCTGATGGGTTCCCTCTCCCCTGCAAGAATTACCTCTCCTACATGATTTAAGTAGTAGAGCTCATTTATGCAAAATTCTGAGTTATATTCACTTTGGTATTTTTAGTTAAACATTTTCAAAATATGTGTACATGGCTTGACAAAGATTTTTGGAGGCTATAGATTTGAAGTATACAGTAGAAAATATCAAGACAACTTGTCTTTGGATCTCAATTTCAGATTTCGACAGAATTGACAGTTTTGCTTATTTACTTATTTATTCATTTTATTTAAATTTTCGTCAGTTAACATACAGTACAATATTGGTTTCTGAAGTAGAATTCAGTGACTCATCACTTACATACAACCAGATTTGCTTTTTTAAAATGGTCATTTATAAATCTAACTTTTTCCTTAGAAACACATCCGTACACCAGAACAATTCTGTTTTGAAAAGGCAAGTTGAATTATTGTCAGTAATATCTTAGTACATTCATTTCTCATCACAGAAATAACTTTTTAGGCCATGCACTGGATCCTAATTTTATAACACTCTAAAATAATGCAATAAACAACAGTGCTTTTGCTTACTGACTTTTAAAATCTGTTATTTTCCGAGAAAGAATTTTTGGTTCATTGGTTCTTGGATAGCCACATAAAACATTAACTTGGCAGTTGATTTATGTAAGTTTTTATGTCTTTCAGGCACATAATACAAGAACATAAAATTAATTATTGATTGTGGTACAGATTCGGCACATCACTGTGTATTGTCAGTCAGCCTGAAAAAAGAGAAAAGTCATATTAACCAACTCCAGGCAGTCCCAGATTGCTGCATATAAAATGCAAGCAGGCTTCATCATGCTAATGACAAGATACCTTATTTAACAAAACAGTGAAATAATTCAATGAAATTTATGTAATTCTGAGCTCTCATACAATGCTTAGTAGTAACTTAGTTCTTGATCTGAATTATAACAGGTTTGTGATTTTGCAAAATAATCCTTATATACTAATTTTTTTATTTGTTTAAAAGCCTTCTTGATTTATGTTTCAAGATTTCTCTGATACCTTTGACAAAGGTATTATTTATAACTTTATACTAAGGCAAATAACTAGTTACTGATTCTAAACTCAGTTGGAGGCAGCTACCTATGATATTACTAACTGGACCTCAGAGTTTCCAGTGACCTACATACAAGGCAGCAGGGTACCTAGGAGATAATTGGTTCTAGCTGAGTGTCTTGAGCCTGGTAGACATTCAGCAAATATTTACTTAGAGATATTTATGCCCTTGTTTTGTCTTGGACATCATCTCTTTTAGGCCTCAGTGTATGGTTGTGATTATTTTCTGAGTGTGTGTGTGAGCCTTCCTCTTTACCCCATCTTCTGAGATCTGAGTTTTAGTTCTGGTGCCTGCTACATGAGCCCTAGCTCCTTACATCTAAATTCTTTTTCTTTTTTTAAGCTTTTATTTATTTATTTGATAGTGAGAGAGAGAGAGAGAGCACAGGCAGAAGGAGAAGCAGGTTACCCGCTGAACAGAGAGCCCAATGTGGGAACTCGATCCCAGGACTCTGGGATCATGACCTGACCTGAAGGCAGATGCTTAATGACTGAGCCACCCAGGTGCCCCCAGAATTATTTTTTTTTTTTTAGCAGCAAGAGAGAAGGGCAATGAAGGCATGCTCTTGAAATTATTTCCCTTACTCCTTTCTGTCCTGGTCTGTTAAGATTTTTAATTTTTAGTCTATGTAGTTTTTATATTTGGACACCAATTAATTGTTCATTTCAGTTAAAAACTTACCTAAACCTTAAACAAGTGAATTTTGTGGTATGTGAATTATATCTCCATAAAACTGTTGTTAAAAACCTTCCAAAATTTATGTAAAAGCATTTTTAGTGATATTGGGAAGCAGCTTTGTATTAATGTTAGAAGGTGAGGAGCAAATGGTAGTTAATTTATTTATATAGAGTTCCAAGTGATAGGTTTTTAAAAATATACTTCCCTTTTCTATTTTTGGTTTGTTTTAACTTAGGAAAACTTTCTATTTAACTCATAAGTGTACATCTTAATGGAGTGAGGAAGGCAAATGTAACAGATAGTGACTAAAACATTTAAATCTTATTTTTAGCATCAGAATGCTATTTAGAGAGATGAACCAGAAGTATGCAAATATTCCATTTCATGCCTAACTCCCTGGCCTGGTTGTCCATTAGAAATCTGAGATCTAGCTACATAATTGAGGATGTGAGGAAGTGTACTACAAAATTCTGGATTTTGACTTTTCTGTAAAGTGATCAAGTTGATATTAAGGACTTCACATTTTAAGGTATTCCACTTATCATTACAGAAAGCTGTATACCTGCACAAGTGGTGGCTGCCATTGATGTAAACACTGTTGCTAATGAAGTATACAAGTATAATTTTCCTCACACGCAGTTACTGGCCAAGACAATCGAAGTGAGTAATGTTGCTTATTGTTTTAATAAGTATATGGCAAGGAAAGTATGATTGAAAAACACTGTAAAATACTGATTTCTGGTGTCTTCATTGGAGGATAAATCATATATAACTGAAAAAGTTTAGAAGGGAATCAACATTTTATAATCTATAAGAAGATGGCATGCTCTTTTTGGCCCTTATTTAGTTTTAATTTTCAGTTTGAGAGAATGAGAATGAGAGAGGTCAGTATTTTGGTCTCCGAGACAAAAGATTGAAATGTAAGAATATGCTTGACTTCTAAATGCATGGTTCTGTAATGATATTAAACTTTGTTTAATTCTTTACTTTCAAGCAATAGTAATGCACAATATATATATAACAGGAGTAAAAACAAGAGAGGCAGTCACTGGCTATTACTTATTGAATGCTTCTTATTTTAGCAAGCCTGTCAAAATTACAGGTTAAAAGTACATTGATGAACTCTGCAGAAGTATTTAACACTGATGTACATTGTTATTTTTTAAATAATATGAGATTGTGTTTTTCTCCATTTTCTTGTGAAACATTTTACATCAAATTTCTCATGAAGCTATAATTTATTTATAATAAACTGCACTCATTTGTGTGTAGTTTGAGTTTTGACTACAAGTGTGTAACCGCCACAGTCGAGACTTAGAACATCTATCCCCTCTAGTGTTCCTTAGTGTCCCATGCCCAGGCAACGACTGATCTGCTTTCTGTCATTACAGATTAAATTTTCCATTTCCAGTATATCACAAATAAAATCATGAATGTAACTTGCTCATTTAGCACGATGTTTTTTGAATTCACCCATGTCGTTGTGCGTATCAGTAGTCTGTTCTTTGTTATTATTGCTGGGTAATATTCTATACGGTGAAATATTATGTACTATAATGTATATATCCAGTCACATGATGTTAGACATTTAGGTTATTTCCAGTTTTTGACTATACAAAACTGTTGCTGTGAACATTCATGTAAGGGTTTTTGTGTGGACCTTTGTTTTCATTTCTTGTAGATGAATACCTAGAATTGGAATTGCTGGGTCATATAGTAGGTTTCTTTAATTTTATGAGAAAATCCTGTTTTCCAGAGTGTTTATACCATTTCACACTCCCATAATCAATGTTTGAGTGTTTCAGTTGTTTCACATCCTTACCAGCACTTGATATTGTTAATTTTTTAAATTTTAGCCATTCTAGTGAGCCTGTTGTGCTGTTCTGATTCTTTTGTGTGTGATGATTCTAATTTGCATTTCTCTGATGGCTAAAAATGTTGTGCATTTCTGTGTCTTCTTCTGTAATGAAATTTTTTGCCAATTTTTATTATTTGGTGTGTTTGTAATATCATCATTTCATTGTAAGAGTTGTTTAAGTTTTCTGGATTCAAGTTGTCTGTCAGAAATGTATATAACAAATATTTTCTCCAGTTCAGTAATTTGTCTTTTCATTTCCTTAACTGTGTTCATCAAAATGCAGAAGTTATTTATCTTTCTTTGTTTTTTGATCACATTTCTGTGTGTTCTAAAAAATTTTTGTTTACCCCATTTTCCCCTCTTCTGGAAATTTTATAGTTTTGGCTTTTCCATTTAGGTTGATGACCCATTTAAAGTTACTTTTTGGTGTAGTTTGAAGTAGCAGTCATTTATTTTTTTTTTCAAGTGCATATAGCATTGTCCTGGCACCATTTTCTTTCTTTCTTTCTTTTACCATTTTCTGAAATGACTATCCTTTCCTCAATTTCCTTGACACTTTCATAAAAAAAAATAGGTCATAAATGTGTGTCTATTTCTGGACTCTCTCTTCAGTAGTATCTGTATGTTTTTCCTTACACCAGTAGCACACTCTTTTGATTATTATAGCTTTATAATATGTATTGAATTTGGGTAGCATAAGTTCTCAAATTGCTGTTGTTTTTTCTTTCAAGATTATTTTGGCTACACTGTACTTTACATTTCTGTGTAAATTTCCAAATAACCTTGCCAATTTCTACAAAAAGATATTTTGATTGGAATTCTGATTGGTTTTAAAAGAATTGGTATCTTAATAAAATTGAGTCTTCCAGGCCATGAACATGGTATCTCTCTTCATCTATTTAGGTAGTCTTTAATTTATATCAGTAATATTTTGTAATATTTGTTGTACAAATCTTGCACATATGTTAATTAATTTATCCCTAAATATTTGTGGGTTTTGATGCTATTGTAAGTGGTATTTTAAAAAACCACTATTTTACCACTATTTCCTATTGCTAGCATATAGGAATACACATATTTTTGTTTGACCTTCTATCTTGTGACTTTGTCATATTGACTTATTCTGATAGCTTTGATTTTTTTAGGATTTTTTCTACATACACAATCATATTGTCTGAGAATAAAGAGTTTTACTTTTCCCTTCCAATCAGTGTGACTTATTTTTTTGTCTTATTGCATTGTCTAGGACCTTCTATACAGTGTCGATTAAATAGGATTACATTGGATATCCTTGCCTTCTTCCAGTTCTTAGAGGCAAAACATTCGGTCATTTACCGTTTGGGATGATATTAGTTGTAGACTTTTTATAGATGTATTTTATCAAGTTGAGGAAATTTCCTTTTATTACATTTTTTGAGAATTTTTATAATGAATGGGTTTTGAATTTTATCAAATGCTATCTTTCTTGCATCTTTTGACATGATTATATCATTCCCCTTTTATTCTTTTAATATGGTGATTATATCAATTTCTGTTTTTGAATGTTAGGTCAATATTGCATTCCTAGGATAAATCCTACTTGGTCATGATCTATTACCTTTTTTATGTAATGCTGGTTTCAATTTGCTAATATTTTGTTAAGTATTTTACATTTAGCTTCATAGGTGATTTGTTACTTCTCCTCAGTGTTTTAGTATGGTTTCAGTATTAGGGTTATATTAACCTTATATTTTTTGGAAGAGTTTGAAAACCAAGTATTAGTTCCTCTATAAATGTTTGATAGAATTTAGTTAATGAGGCCATCTGGGCCTGAAGTTTTCTTTGTGGGAAGGTTTTAAACTATGAATTTAATTTATTTAATTGCTAAAAGACTAGTGAAGCTTCCTATTTATTTTTTATTTAGTTTTAGAAATTTGTGATCTTGAAGGAATTATCCATTTTATCTAATTTGTCAAATGTATTCGCTTGATTTTTTCATATTTCCTTATATCCTTTTTCTATATGTGAACTCTATAGTGATGTACTGTAGGTCATTCCTGATGTCAGTAATTTGTAAAATGCTAGTGAAGCTGGAAGCTTACCAATTTTATTGGTCTTTTCAAGTAAATAGCTTTGGATGCAATTGATATTATCTATTGTCCATTTGTTTACTACTTCACTAATTTCTGCTCATCTTTATTATTTCTTTCTACTTTGCATTTAATTTATGTTTTTTAATAGTTTTTGCAGTGGGACTTTAGATGAGTTACTTGAGATTGTTTTCCTTTTTTTCATATAAACATTTAATGCTGTAGATTTTCCTAAGTTTTGGCTACATTCCACAAATTTTCATATGTTGTGTTGATTTCATATAGTTAGAAATATTTTCCAATTTCCCTTCTGATTTCTTCTTTGGCCCATGTGTTATTTATAAGTATGGGTTTAAATTTCCAAATATTCATAATATTTTCCAGATAGCTTTCTGTTACTGATTTCTCATTTCTGTTTTATTTGGTCATACTGTGTATAATTTCAGTTATTTTAAATTGCTGAGACTTGTGTTATGGCCCATAATTCAGTTTGGTCTAGTGAATGTTCTATATGGTATTGAAAAGAATATATTCTTTTTTTATGGGGTGGAATGCTCTGTAAATGTCAGTCAGGTCAAGTTGGTTGATAATGTTGTTCAATTTTTCTGTATCCTTACTGATTTTTTCTATCAGTTGCTGAGAGAAGGGTGCTGTAATTTCCAACCACAGTCGTGAATGTGTCTTCCTTTAGTGTTGTCAGTTTTTGCTCCATTTTATCTTAAAGCTCTGTTATTAAGTATTTACACTTTATAATTTTTTTGATGGAATGACCCCTCTATCATTATAATGTCCTTTTTTCCCAGATTTTATTTAAATTCTAGTTAGTTAACATACAGTGTAATACTGGTTTCAGGAGTAGAATTCAGTGGTTCATCACAACACCCAGTGCTCATCATAAGTGCCCACCTTAATACACATCACCTATCTAGCCCATTTCCTGCCCACCTCCCTCCATCAACCCTTGGTTTGTTCTCTATTGTTAAGAGTCTCTTATGGTTTGTTGTCCTCTCTCTCTTTTCCCACCTCCCATATGTTCTTCTGTTTTGTTTCTTAAATTCCACATATGAGTGAAATCATGTTATTTAATGCTGTAAATTAAATTGTCTTTCTCTGACTGACTTATTTTGCTTAGTATAATACACTCGTTCTTCTGTTTTGTTTTGTTTTGTTTTTTTTTAAAGATTTTATTTATTTATTTGACAGAGAGAGACATAGCGAGAGCAGGAACACAAGCAGGGGGAATGGGAGAGGGAGAAGCAGGCTTCCCGCTGAGCAGGGAGCCCGATGTGGGACTCGATCCCAGGACCCTGGGATCATGACCTGAGCCGAAGGCAGCCACTTAACGACTGAGCCACCCAGGCACCCTCTTTTTTTCTTTTTTTTTTTTAAGATTTTTATTTTATTTATTTGACAGAGAGAGACACAGCGAGAGAGGGAACACAAGCAGGGGGAGTGGGAGAGGGAGAAGCAGGCCTCCCGCCGAGCAGGGAGCCTGATGTGGGGCTTGATCCCAGGACTCTGGGATCATGACCTGAGCCGAAGGCAGACGCCCAACGACTGAGCCACCCAGGGGCCCGTCTTCTGTTTTGTTTCTTAAATTCCACATCTGAGTGAAATCATGTTGTCTTTCTCTGACTTATTTCGCTTAGTATAATACACTCTGGTTCTAGCCACATCGTTACAAATGGCAACATTTCATTCTTCTCAATGGCTGAGTGATATACCATTGTGTG